ACCATCTTTAGAACGAATTAAAATGGTAAAATCACAGAGCTTTAAGAATAACTACAACTTCCGAATTGAAAATTCTCTGTCTACTTGCTGTTTATCTGTTCCATGGCATTGATTGCTGTCTGTCCCCGTCCCCCCAGGTTCGCATCGGGCAAGAGCACCTCGAGAAGGACGAGGGCAAGAACGTGGCCAAGCACCAGAACCACATGCGCTGCTGCGTGGTCGAGGAGATCATCAACTCGGAGCGCGAGTTCGTCAAGACGCTGCGCGACCTGTACGAAGGGTTCATGAAACCGGCCGAGGCCAACGGGCTCTTCAGCCAGGTGCAGATCCGCGGCGTGTTCAGCAACCTGGAGGACATCCTCAACTTCCAGACCGTGTTCCTCAAGGACCTGGAGGCCATCATCGACTGGGGCGCGCTGCACGACGCGCGCGTCGGCGAGGTGTTCTGCCGGCACGTGGAAGGGTTCCGCATCTACACCGAGTACTGCAACGGGCACACGCAGGCCAACGTGATGCTGCAGGAGCTGATGGCGCTCGAGGTGTACGCCAAGTTCTTCGAGGAGTGCCGCGTGCGCCGCGGCATGCAGCCCATCCCGCTCGACGGCTACCTCCTCACGCCCGTCCAGCGCATCTGCAAGTACCCGCTGCAGCTCAACGAGCTCTACAAGTACACGCACCTGGAGCACGCCGACTACCGGCCGCTGTGCGACGCGGTGCAGGCCATGCGCGCCACGGCCGCGCACGTCAACGAGTGCAAGCGCCGCACCGAGGGGCTCGTCAAGCTGTCCGTCTTCCAGGCCGGCATCCTGGACTGGGAGGGGCGGGAGCTCATCGAGGACAGCTCGCTGCTCATCTACCAGGGCTCCGTGTCGCAGGTGGTGCCCGCGCACAACGTCGGCCGCCGCCTCTACATGTTCGACAACCAGCTCATCATCTGCAAGCGCAAGCGCACCTTCTTCGCGGTGAGTCTGTCCCTCCGCTTTTAAAAAAAATGCCTTACAAAAATTCTCCGAGATTACTTTCCTAAAAAAATTAAAATCCCCAGTTGAGCGACTCACAACGTGTCACTCTTGTGTGTTCCAGTCTCTGCCCAACCGCAGCATGAAGTTCTTCCGCGCGTCGCTGTCGTACCGCGGCCGCATCCTGCTGCAGATGTGCGAGGTGCAGGACGTCTCTGGAGGTGGGTCCCTTCTGAGCGGATCTAGCAGCGCCGCCTCGAGCTTGCATTGACGAGGGTTGGATATTTCCGGAAAATTTCCGGAAAATTCCTGAAAAATTTCCGGGAAAAATAACTGAAAATTTCGGGGTTGTGAAAAATTTCCTTCATTTCTCCGATAATTTTCCGAAAATTTCCCGGAAACTTTCCAGGACTTCCAACCCTACCACTGCCCATGCTGACCCGGTGGCCGGCAACCTCCTCTTCTTGTTGCAGAGGTGTACTTCGGGCGGACCGTCAAGTACGGCATCAAGGTGCGGTGCACGGTGCGCAACCGCCACGTGGTGTTCCAGCTGGCCAACAAGACCCTTAAGGACAAGTGGCTCGAGGCGTTCCGCGACGAGCGCAAGTGCGTGCACCGCGACCGGCGCATGGGGCTCATGGTGAGCGCGTCGGACCGCAACCGGGCGCGGCTCGCAGCGCTGCGCTCCGAGACCCAGGACTCGACCACGGGTAAGC